AAGTTAATTTTAAATTTGTATTGTTCTTCTATTTTGAAAGGAAGAAAAAAACGCTTCGAATTTAAGTTATTTATGTATGATCGATGAAATCGATGAAATCCACGAATGTCGATCCTTTCGAATTAAAAAATTAGTGAACGAACTCGAGTGAGATATTTTCAATATTTAATACCTGTAAGTTAATTTTCTATCGTTCTTCTACGATTTTGAAAAGGAAAGGAAAACATACTTCGAATTTAAAAGATCTGATCGATTCGATAATAATCAATGGTGGTCGGATGGAAAGTTTCACTACACGACAAATCTATCTCGAATCTGTAAAATAAAAATTTCTTATATATATATGTATCCTATATATATATTAAAACATGCGAGTTACTTAGGATCCTTTCACGATTAAAATTACGTCACGTTACAAAATCCTCTGTTAAAAACGTGAATGATCGCGAAAACGTTCTCTGAAGTGGAGTTGGCTCGGGCAATCTCGTTGGACTAGCAGCGCGTAATTAGAATGTCAACGAACTAACATGCTATACAGGGCGGAGCTTAGCTTTTCCCAAAAGCTGCCCTCCGTTCCTTTCAGACGAAGAGATATTTCGAATTCGAGCCTCGGTTACCTGAGAAAAGAATGTAACTTCTTTCAAAAAATCTGCTTGCGATTCAAGACGCATAAATAATTTTCTAGTATAATTGAATAAAAGATGAGTTTGATATTGGATATTTTTTTTTAACGAGATGAAAGTCTCAGTTCAACGAATTTGTTGTCAAAGATAATTCTTTAAAAAAAAAAAAATTTCGTCGAATTTAGACCTTTGAAATCGAACCGCAAAATACGCGAGAACAAACGATTTGCTCTGCCGTGACCAGAAATTTCAAACTATTTACACGATCTTTTCGCAAAATAGAAAGGTAGGAAAGAAGATGGAAAGAAAATTCAGTTCCAGAAAAGAAGATGGAATGTACGAATAAGTTTCAATTCTTGTTTCGATGAAAGTGGGAATAGTTCGCGCGATATCAGCCGCGTGTTTTTGTCGCGAAACTTTCGATAGAAATATTTCCAGCCACTTTCTATCGAGGTGGAAGAATAGCACAGCGTGTTCGCGATAAATCGCGCGATTCTTCGGCCACGCACGGGACAAAGTTATTAATCAAAGAAAAATTTGATCGAAATCCAAATGAATGGATACACAGAGAGGATTAAACAATGACAAAAATTTCATATCGCAGAGATAAAACGAATAATTCTTTATGCGAGATGTGAAAGGAATCCATCGATTTCGTTTCACTTGCTCGCCATCCATCGAGCGGAAAGAAGAATCGGTAACAGGGAAATGAAGGAAGGAAAATTCGTGACGACTGTCATGGAGAACTGATCGTTTTGATCGATCATTTTTTTCTTTTTTCAAGATCGAGGAAAATTGTTAAAGGAAAACTTTCCAAAATGGTGGATTAGTCCCTCTACGCGCAACTTCGATGAAGTTTCGAGATAGTTTCAATGTACCCCAGATCCCGCGTAATTTCCCTGTAATTTCGAGACGGTATCAGCCGTGGCCACGCGACATATACACCTGATTGTACAGTCTCATGTAGGTCAACGAGAGGAAGAGGTCCGCCTCGAAATTCGAAACTACGAACGTGTATTGGCCTTAATCAATTTCGAAATTAATAGATCGGATTATCGTAATTCTAACCGGCAAAATGTTTGGAATTCTATCAACGTCCGCTCTCCCATTTGTATCATCGTTGCATCAAATTAGACTCGGCGATATCCGCAAGTATCCGAGTAAGATACGGATTGATTCGTATGCATAAAGAATGGCGTGCGATTGATAAAATTTAAAATTGAAAGTTCAACCGATGGAAATGGAAGATATTTCGCTATTATAAATCCACTTCGTATCGAAGAAGAAAATTTAAATGCTAATAAAACGCGATGTTAAAAAATATTTTCGCAAAAATTTATAAAAATCTTCCTCTCAATAAAATATAACTATATAACTGTAAACCTTGAGAAAAAAAAGAAAAATAGAACTTCATCGCGGTCACACGGTTTTTAATCGAAAAGAGAGTACGGCGAGGGTGGCGAGTTTCTCATCAAGCTCGGTTTCACGCGAGTCCTCTTTATCTCGAAACGTGAAGCACGAGGGGACGTTGAATCGAACAACGTCCCTCGCAGAGATCTGAGGGGGGGGAGGGAAGGGGCAGGGTAGTTTTTCTATGAAGGACGAGGGACCACGTCTGAGTGCGCGCCTACTTAATCGCGCCATTGTGAGATTCCTCCTCTTCCTCTGAGTGCTCCTCCTTCAAACTCTCCCCTCTTCAGGAGGAGCCATCCAAGGGTGAAAAATACCCTTACGGCTTCTGGACATTCCGCGACTCTTTGTGACGTACGGTGATCTTTCCTCGAGGGCCTCGCGAAAGAACAATACGAGTGCGGTAAAAAAAGAAGAGAAAAAGAGGGGGAAAAAAGGTGGATCCCCAACCGTGGAATATTTGCAGCTCTTTGACCCTGAACTAAGACGATTTCGCGGGACAATCTTGCCAAGGATCACTCTTTTCCGCAAGGAACACTGCAAAGGGGGATTTTTTTCTTTTCTTTTTGCAACGCGCCTCGTTAACTCGAACAGACGTGGCTTCGCCTTTCTGGACCAGCAGGCTTCTCTTTGTCTTCGTCAAAGGGCAAAAGTCGAAATTCTTTCTTATTAATTAATCGCGAAATATACGGTGGAAATATCGAAAGACCATTAGATTCTACCAGTGATTCCGACCACTTTGCGAATTGGGAAAGTTTCGTTGGGATGGTTTCGTTCAAAGGCGAAATCTTCATCCCTCGTTTCAACGATATTTTTCGGTAAAGTCGAACACCGTGCAATCTCAATTCTCCACGAACGGAAAACTGGACAACAAGATTCCAAGTTTCTTTTCAAAGAGAGAGAGAGAGAGAGACAGAGAGAGAGAGTTGTCGTGCCCTCGAAAGTTTCAATTTCCATTCCATTATGCATCCGTCTTCGCTTTGGCCAGATATTTCGACGGTTGCACATTTTAGATAGAGTATATTTTGCGTGAAATGAACGCACGATCATAAACGATGCCTCTTGTTTTCGAGGCCGGTGAATTTACCCAAAGGCTGAACGAAATAATGGGGGCGAAGAAGAAATGGCGCAGAAGGGAGGGAGAGAGAGATCGGTACGCGGAAATAATCCTTTACTTTTTCATTTTCTGCGCCGGAGAAAGCGTGGAAAGACAAAGGAGAAATAGTCGGGGGTGGAGAGGCGTAGAAACTTTACATGCTCGTTCCCCCTCGTTTCCTCCGAAGCGGAGGAATAAAAAGTTTTCTGAAAAAGTTCCGCCAAAGTATTCGCGGTGTCTTACTGATTTCCCCGGGGGTGTAATACACCCTTCTTTCAGCGCGCGCCCTTCCTCGATTCGAATTATGGATTCTGGAATTATGATCGACGGAAACGTAATTAACGGGCGATGAAAGCCACGGACTCTTTTTGCCCGCGCTAGCTTTCATTCGTCGGGAGACGAAGAAAAACAGGGGGACGAGAGTTCCATTTCTAGGGGGCGGCGGCCCTTAAAGCGAATCGATCCGCCTTCGATTCTAATGGTCATTTGTAATTCAATTAATTCCTCCTCCCTCGGCACTCGAGATAAGGAGCTATCAGCAGCTTCGTTTCACCGATGGAACTGGTGGACTTTTCTTCTATATATACTTTTTTTTCATCGAAGAATTAAACTTCTTGGTAAACGGGGGCGAGCATTCGTAGAAATAGGCCGATGATAAATTTGGCCAGTGATAAATTTTTCGAAAAAATTCTGACCCGAGAGAATGGAAAATGGAGTTCGTTAATTTTTTTCGAAGGAAAAAAAAAAATAAACGAATTTGAACGTAGAAGAAACATACTAAAGAGTAACGAATGGAAAAAGAATCCAAGAATGGGCCGCGGAGCGCGCGTATTATTTCCTCGAAAAAGTTTCTCAACGAGAATTTTGAATTTTTCATTGCGTTACATTCATGCATATCCTGACACGCGGATGCAAGCTAGTCTATATGCTAATTACTCCGGAAAAAGCGCGCGTATAATAAAAAGAGGGGACAACCGGTTATTTTTATTTCTGTTTCAAAATTTACTGTATGAACTGTGTGCACCGCGATAAAACGATCTACGCGTTTTAAAAAATGCAAGAAAGAGGAGGAGCAACAAGATGACGAGAGGAGGTAAGTAAGACTAGACGAAAAGAATTTTCCTCGTAAAATGTAGGGAATTTGAAGGAAGTTTGCTCGAATCGAATCTTTAAACGCCGATATAGCCGTTATCGGCCAGGAAAAAATATCGATCATCTGGAAATAATGAGGCTCGCTGTTTGGTCGCATCTCCATTTTGTTTTCCTTTTTTTTTTTTTTTTTTTTTTTTTTTTTTTTTTTTATTTTTTTTGTTTTTCCGAGAAAATTCGAGCACCGAATTATCCCCATTGTTATCCCCAATCTCGTCCCTTTCGAAGGATAATTTCAATCGGACAGTTTTCATTAAATTATTTATCGAGTTTAATTGGAGCTTTATTTTAAGTTGCCGAACAAATAATGAACACTTTAATTGCATTGAGTTCCGGAGGGGAGGCGGATTCTTAACGAAGCTTGGGGAAGAAATTATTCGTTTATTTCGTTGAGATTTTAATACGTTCTAAATGCAGCTAAAAAAAAATAAGGTATACATATTTGAAGAAGAGTGAGCATTCTCAGATCGAGATAGACGATCTTTTATCGATTTTCGTAATAAAATTAGATACACGGGACGTCTATTCGTTCTCTTCGTAATTATATTCGCCCTTATTGCGAATAGAGAAAAATTCTGTTAATCAAATCCGTTAATTTTGACAGCAAAGAAATGCTACTGAGATAATTTTAATTTTAATCCCGAAAGTTGCAGAAATCGAGAGGAGACAAAGCGACGAGGCCGGGAGAGAAGAGAGTTGGAACAAGTTGTAATTGGAGGGAGCGGTGTTTGGGAGCCCAAGTTTAAAGTTTCCATTGGTTAAAGTTATACGAATTTACCGAGCACCTCTTGATCGTTTGTCGCGCTTCCATTCCTCCCTGTTTCTTCGCGCGTTTATAATACCTTATCTCTGCCAAACGAGAGAACTCATCGGAAGACGAGAGCTACGCGAAACAATCGAAACAGGAGAGATTATTGCCGTGTTACAAATGATAAGAAAGAATTACGGAATAAAGAGATTCGACGAATTTACCTTCGAATCGATCCCGCAAAAAATCGTATCATTTCCGTTGGAAAAAGGAAAAAAAAGAAAAAGAATTCCACTGCACTAATACCCCGAATAATCGATACGGCCCATCCCTGGTGCACAACGAGGAAAAGTGGCTTATGGCGGCAGGCCGACCAAATCTTCGAAACCAGTTACACGATAGCGGCCTCCATTTGGAACGTGTTGCGAAACAAGCTCGAGCTAACTAACGATAACGATCAACGAAAACAGCAAGGATGGCCGTCTACTTGCGACAACAACCGCGAGCTTGTAACTAGCCTCGATAACTTTTCGGTTTAATTGCATTTAAAATGAATTTAAAAATAACCTCGTCGTTTCGAGTGTCTCAAAAGTTTCCCTATCAAATCCTTGCCACGACACGGCCTGTTCAAGACGCGTGTTCAAGAGAGAGAGAAAGAGAGAGAGAGAAAGGCTTGGAGGGGCGATGATCAAGAGAGCACAAAGACACGATTTCATTCATCGGTTTTTTCGGCTATGGTTGGAACCTGATTGCGCGCCTCCAGCGCCTTTTTTTTTCTTCTATTTGTATTCCTCCTTTGAAACGTGTTGCTTCTCCTGGTGGTTGGGACACCAATGATGAATGGCGTGTCGGGTCGAAAGTGACAGTGTATCGTTTTCGAAGATTGTATCTTTCATTATCGCTTCCACTTGGCAATTGGCATGTTTCGATTATGTATTTAGAATATTGTATTGACATTTATGAACAATTTTAAATTTTACTCAAATTTTTATTCAGAGTTGGGCATTAATTAATTATTCGTTGAAAAAGTAACTAGTTAAAAATTTCGAATAAAGTTAAACTTTAAATAATTACTTATTTAAAATGATAAAACGAATAACATTTATTCGTAGCTCGACGCCACAGTTATTTCCGATTATAATTATGTTTTGAACAACAAATTATCGAAGCAAAGCAACTTCAACTATTAAATTTTGCCCATCATTGTTTCGAGCTTGGTATAACTCCTACACGCGATATACTTTTGCATAATCGATAATTGTAGCGTGAAAGAAGACGTGAAAAAATATTACCAATTTTTTCACTTCGATTTAACGAGATTGTGTCGCGATATAACCTGGTTCGATTTATCCAATTTCTCTGCTAATCAACTATTAATTAAACTCGTGAAATATACTCCTGACTTATCGTCACCTCGCAACCTGTACTTTAATATTCCTATGAAGAAGTTAAAGTTGAAGCATCCTCCAAGTTAAATATCGAATCAGTCTCGAGGTTGGAAGCTAACTCGGCCGCGCAAATCAATTAGCCAAGCGTGTCTGAGTAGCATACGTGTTGCATCCAGTTTGAACGACGAAAATAGAGGGAAAAGTAGGATAAAAAAATCGATCCGAACGATTTCCACCTGTTCCATCAATAGAACGAAAGAAGAATGAAAGACGAGGATAAAGGGGGGTAAGATAATAAAAGCTACTCTCCTCTCGAATAAATTCCTCGTAATTAAATATACGTCCGGTGTAACGTATTCACGAGGCGAAGAAAAATGCTTTAATTAATCATGATTGCGAGAAGACGAGCTGTGAGCCGGATTCGCTCGAGTCTCGAGCATCGTGAGAGACAATAAAGAAGAAGAATCGGGAAGAATGGGAGCGCTACAAGTGCCTTTCTTCGGTTCCACCATCGTGGACCGGGTTCGGGCATCGTGTGGGAGGAAGAAACAATAGGAATTGAAATAAAAACGAAAGGAAGAACGAAAGATGAGAGGAGGAAGAGAGGAACGGGTGAAAAAAGACGAGGATGAAAGGAAACGGTCTTTTCCTTCGAGAATAAAAAGGGGAGATTCTTGCGGATCTTGCGCCTTGGAGAATATTTCCCATTTTCTCGGGGTACGTTGCCTTTGTAAAAACCTGTCCCCCTCCTCCCTGTTCTGTTCTCGGGGAACAGAAGTTCGAAGGGAGGATATCTCGTCGGAATGGCGGGATGTGGGAATAAAGTGCAAGTTGCGGATGCTTGCAAGAAACTGCTTGGTGAATCGAAGTTTTAATCGGTGACCCGTGTAGAAAAGTGTCTCTCGACTTGTTCTTAAAGCACAATAATATTCGTTCCCCGCTTTCCGCAGGGGGATCTCGACGAGTTACTTTTATTACAGAATTGATTCCTATTCCTTTCTTTCTTTCTTTTTTTTTTTTTTGTTAAATTATATTCACAATCACATCTTCTCGAGAACTAAACCGATCAATAAAGATCGAATTATTTTACATTCAGATTTTCACGATACGTTCAAGATAGAAAGCTACGATTTTATGTAAATTGTATTGTAAATTAATTTGTATGGATAAGAATTTGCGAGGGTTTTCAGAGCGAAAGGGACTGAAACAGAATACGGATTTGAAATATCGTCGAGCACGATAATGTTGGCAATTTTCGTAATGAAAAGTAATAACGAGAAACGAGGAGGAGGGAGGGAGGGAGGCCAATTCTTGGCCAACCTCCGGCCGAGAATCGGCCGATTAAATAGTTGGCCGAGGTAATTGAGATTCATTGTACGATGTGCGCAATTAAAAGATAAGGATTGGAATTAACTCGAAACGGCGGCGCGAGAGAGAAAGCAGGGCGGATATGCGAAATATCTTTTTTTGATCGAAAGGAAGGAGGGAAAGAGCGAAACGAAAAAGAAGTTTAATTTTTCGTTCGAGATAATCATCGATGGAAAATATTGGTAAAGTGGTTGGAAGAAAAAGGAACGAGGGATTATTTTTCTTGTACAATCGTTGCGAAGGTGGAAGTAATGCTCAAACATTTACGGAGAAAAATGAAAGCGATGAGTTGGGATAAGAGAGACATAACGAAATTGGGAGACGAAATTAATTTAATTTAATCTTCACGTTAAATCGTGATTTTAATAATATTCTCGATGCAGGAGCTTGTTTATTATTGAGAGATTGATTATTATTGAGAAATATGCGCAAAGAATTATATATTTTCTTTGAAGAATCGTACAGGGGAATTTGAATGTGATACATTCAAAACCGAGTCTACAGTTTGTTAAAGTAACTTTTTCCTTGAGTTACGTTAGTTATTAAAAAAGAATCGGCAAAACAAGTTCGCGAATAAACACACGAGTTAATTAAAATATCCTCCAGCGTTTTTTTTTTTATAAACACGTTGAAATAACACCATAAATTAACTCGTAAATCAATATTTAAATAATATACGAGAGATTTGGGAAAAAACGCCAAGCCAAGAAAAGAAGAAGAAGAAAAAGACACGATTGCAGTATAGCGTAATAATAAAAGGAAATGATTGAATTTAAAAAATTTGAAATAACGTGTAAATAACAAATTATTAAAAATAAAAATAGAATTATAGAGAAAATAATTTATTAAAGATAAACAAGTTGAAAAACGAAATACGATTAAAAAAAAGAAAGAAAGGAAAATTGGAACGTTATGTGGAAAAAAAAATGGAGTAAGGAAGGGAGTGGGAAAGAAGGAATGGGAAGAGAATGACGTCAATGGGAAAAGATCAAAGAACAATTATAATTGGATTCGTTGTTTCACGAGTGTTGGACGGGCTGGAAAAGCTGTCGTCATCATAAAAAGCGTGAACAAAGAGGGGGGGATATATCGCACGAGTCACGCGAAATCCAATCGAATATTGAACAGTGACAGAGAAATCCATATTGAACGGATCGGGGGTCGTGAAAAATATTTCAGTATCCCGTGTTAGGGAATAAAGCTGCTGACGCAACTTACGACGGGAAAGAAGAAAAAGAAGAGGAAGAAGAAGGTGTCGAGATCGGCAATTTTCGGATTAACATTCTCCTCGTTATTCCAGCCGAGGAGACGAGAGACGTCAAAAGAATAGGAAAAAAAAAGAAAAAAGTGTGCAGAGAGGAGTGAGAGGCGTGACAAAAAGTTTAGGGGAGGGCTAGATCGTAAAGGAATATTTCACGGAGAGAAAAAGAGGAGAAATCGTTAATTTAATTCTTCTCCCCCGAGGAATTACGAGATGTACGCTGTTTCTTTTATAAACTGTTTCGCAAGGGGGTTGAGCAAAGAAACGGAGGACAAAGCTGTCAACTCGTAATAACATCGATTTAATGAAAAAAAAGAAGAAGAAGAAGAAAAAAAACTCGTGACAGGTAATCGAAAATTCGGAAAAGGTGCTTTAAAATTCGTGGAATAACTTCCAGATTGATAAAACAGAGGAATACCCGCGGGAAAACAGCGTCGAGGGAGAAAAAAAAAAAAATTGCAAGAAGAAGGTGACGTTTGAACAATTGAGCGTTCAAGAGGCAGGATTAAAATTCAAACGACGAACGAAGACGGTGATCGAAGAAAAAAAACCAGAAAAAAAAAAGAAGAAGAAGAAGAACAAAACGAAGAGGAAAAGGAGAGGAAGGAAGTTGAAGAGCTGGCAAAGAAACGAAAGGAGAAGAACGGAGGGATGACAAGATTGGTCGTGGAAGGATGTGCTGCTCGTCTCGTAGACAAGTCACGTACTCGTGGAGAGATATTTATTATCCCGTTTAAAAATTTGCATCGAAAAATCAGGCTAACTTACTGCGCCCATGTTGCTATTTTTTCGATAGAGAGATAGGGGCGGAAAATTTTCAAGCCGATTTTATTTCCCTCTCGTTGACCTAGCGTATGTGGTTAACCCTCATTTAATATTCCATTTCTCGATCGAAAATACGGTAAATCCGGGATGAACCGAAAAACTAACATTACAGCCACGATTTTCCTGGCTAAAAACT